GCAACAGAAGCATGGTGGTAACCCGCCAGAAGGCTCTGTCCCTTCCAGCCTTGAGGTGTCTCTAAAATCTGCCCATCCCCTTCTCCTTCCCTCTCTGCTTACCGCACAACAGAAGCATTGGCGGTAACCCGCTAGATGGCGCTGTTCCTTCCAGCCTTGGCAGCCTTGTCAATCTCGTCTCCCTGTAAGCACTGCGCCCCACTAAAACCATCCTCGCCTCGCTATAACCATGCGCGCCTCACTGTAAACATCCTCGTCTCGCTATAAGCATGTTTGTCCCTTCAACGCATTTTTCTTTCAATTCCCGCACCATCTCTCACCCTCCCAACTCTCTTGTAGCTCCCAAGGGAATCTCCCTTGCATCTCTACACCTCTCAAACCCTATTCTCTCTTGCTTTCCCTGCCGTTTCCCCCCTCCCCTTGTACCGCCCCTACCAGCAACATCGCTGGAACAGGGGAGGACGGAGTGGGAGGCCCCCTGCCTTCTAGCTTTGCCAATCTGAAGAAGCTCAAAGAGCTGTAGGTGCAAGGATGGGGGAGAGGGACGGGGGATAGGTAGGGTGCTGGGGAAAGCTAGTGTAGGAGGGATAGAGAGGAGGAGGTCCCTTGCCTTCTAGCTTTGCCAATATGAAGAAGCTCAAACACCTGTAGGTGCAGGGGGGGGGGGAGAGAAGGGGTCAGGGAACAAAGCGATTTGGGTGGGGGAGGGGGGGTGGAGAGAAAAGGAGGGAGGAGAGAAAGAAATCGCGAAAGCCTGCCTTTTCGCTCCAGTCCAAAGCGTATGATTAAAAATGGTTTGCACGGAACAGGGAATTTGCCGAAACAACAGCTGCCAGCAGACTAGGCAATGTGGAGCAACAACCGACATACCTGTGCGCTATGGTTTCATTCCTTGATCTACAAGGTGGATCTTTGCTCAACCCATCCCCATCCTTGCCCCTCGTCCAACCCGTCTGCCCCCTCCCCCACCCTCTCTTCTTCTTCTCCCTTCCCCCCCTCCCCAGCTATCTGCGCAACAACCGCTTCAACGGCAAGCTGCCGGACTTTATCGGGGACCTCACTAATCTGGAGCAGCTGTGAGTGGGGGGAGGAAGAGAGTGGTTGCAGGTGGTTTGCACTCACACGCTCACTCCTACCTGATTCACACCGACGTAAATACCCTCCTCTATCTCCTTCACTCACTCATCCTTGCTCGTCCTCAAAAAGCTCACCCCTCTTCACTACCCTCTTCCCCTCAGCATGGTGAGCAAGAACTACTGGGAGGGCCCCATTCCCAAGACCCTGTCTAAGCTCAAGAAGCTCAAATACCTGTGAGCAACACTCAGTCTCAGTGGCCTCAAGCGGTCCTTAGTTGCCTCTTTCTCTGTGGTAACATTCGGTAAGCAGTTCGTTCTCTACCTTACTCCAGTATCTTTTCACCATCTGCCTTGTCCGAAACCCTCTCTCCTCCCCCTTTCTCCCCTCCCTCCCCCCCGCCTCCTGTCCGCTCTCCTCTCTCCGCCCTTTACTCCCAGGGGTCTTCGTGAGACAGCCTTGGAGGGCGAGATTCCAACGTTCCTTGGGACGCTTGATAAGCTCACATACCTGTAAGGGCACATGCGTGTAACGGCACATGCGTGTAACGGCACATGCGTGTAACGGCACATGCGTGTAACGGCACATGCGTGTAACGGCACATGCGTGTAACGGCACATGCGTGTAACGGCACATGCGTGTAACGGCACATGCGTGTAACGGCACATGCGTGTAACGGCACATGCGTGTAACGGCACATGCGTGTAACGGCACATGCGTGTAACGGCACATGCGTGTAACGGCACATGCTTTTAACGGCACATGCGTGTAACGGCACATGCATGTAGCGGCACATGCGTGTAACGGCACATGCGTGTAACGGCACATGCGTGTAACGGCACATGCGTGTAAGGTCACATGGATATAAGGGCACATGGATGTGAGGCCGCATGCATGTATGATTGCATTCGTGTAAGGTCACATTTCCTCCCCACCCTCTCATCACCCTCTCACCACCCCCTCACCACCCTCTCACCACTCCTCTCCCCTCCCTCCCCCCCCATTTATCCAGTTTGCTGTCCGACGTGCGCTTGTACGGTCGGGTGCCCATGGTGTTCAGCGCTCTGCCATGTATTGAGGCCTCCCAGTCCACCCACCCCCCTCTTCCCCTCTTCCCGCCTATGCGTTCTCCCCCTTGCCCCCAGCTCCCTCTCTGACACGCGTCTGTACGGGGAGGTGCCTAAGGCGCTCAACGGGCTCGTCAACCTCAAAGAGCTGTGAGTCCCCAAGGGAGGGAAGGGCGACGGGGCTGCTGGGGGGTAGCTTGCGTGAGCGGTGAGCTTTTTCAGTGTAGACCAGAGGCAGCGGCAGCGAGCCGAGGACTTGCAGAGTGGATCAGGAGCAGTGGCTGTACCCTCCTGCGTCCATCCTATACCCTCAACCTCCTTCTATCCTTGTGGCATTCACCGTTCTCTTTCTACGCACCCCCTTCTCCATTCCTCGCTCCACCCGCCCGTCCCTCCCTATCTCCAGGTACCTCCAGAATGGATGGTTTTACGGCCCCCTGCCCAACCTCAGCAACCTGAAGAAGCTCACAGAAATGTATGACTGCCTGCCTGCCTGCCTGCTCGTTCCCATTCGCCCTCCTCCATCCCTGACATCTTGGACTTAAACTTGCAGTTGAATGCACTCTCTTTTTTCCTGCCGTTCGGTCACCAACCTTCAACATCCCTACCCTCTCCCTCACCACTCCAACTCCCCACCCCCACCCCCACCCCTAGTGATCTGACAGACAACTATTTCTCCGGTCCCGTGCCCGCCTTCCTCCTCCGAGTCAAGTCCGTTAGCATCAGTGGAAACTATTTTTCCGGCTCAGCCGCCGCCCTCCCCTGCTCCGACCAGTTCTCTATCGACCGCAACTGCCTCTCTGCTGCCCCGCCAAGTGCGGCGGGGTCGCTAGCCAGAGGAGCACGGCTGATTGCAACAAGTTCTGCGGGACGGCAATGGCTGCTGGGGCGTGCAGTGGGAAGGGCGTGTGCGTGTTGGACATGGAACAGATGCTTGACACACAGGCTTTTGTGCCCATCTGCAAGTGTGAGAAGGGTTATTGGGCTTCTCACAACAAGCTGAGATGCTCCAAGAACAACACTTCAATGGAGATATGATCAGAGAACACTTGCAAGCTTGGCGAATGAATAAAAAATAGGTGTTGAATTGTTTGTTCAGCGTTTACCTACAGTAATAAAATAATGGTGTGGTTGTTTGAGTTGCACCTTTATAGAGCTGAATGTGGCCGGGTTTTTCATACCCTCATCCTTTCTCTGTAATGAACTATGTCGGAACGATATTGGCCTTTGAATTTGAACTCGCGTTAATTGCTGGGACCTGAAGGAAGTGGTGTAGTAGAAGACTGATCGTGTAAGGATCTACTACAGCACGTACGCCCTCTAATCCAGAAAGTCCAGGCTCGGCCAACTCCTTTTCGGTCCCGAACCACATTGCGAACCCAAACCTTGACGCGTGGCGCTTCCGTAGCCTTCGCCAACCGAACCGCCCCAACCTGTTCGCGTGGTTCTCGGCTAGCCCTGTCCGTGTTTATAAATGCCTAGGCCCTCATTTGTATCGACAGTTTTGAATCACAGTTCCTTTATTTCACTACCTGTAATTACTCTGATTTATTCATAACAGCTTGCATCAAAGCTCCGTTCATGCCCGTCTAGTCTTCCGTAAAGTAGTCCGTTTATATCGGGAGAGGACCCAACAGAATAAGGAGTTGGCCAGCGGTTGGTAGGTGAGCTCGTTAAAGCCCGAGTCTAGAATTACAAATGGGGATTTCAAAAGAGCCCCCGTTGAAGTAGGGCACTCCTGTAAACTTTTGAGCGAGACGAATTCAGCTGAAACCCATTTTATGGGCAGCAGGAGAAAGTGAAACACTTGAAAACGCATGGAATGCGAGTTTCGGCGATTGCGACAAACGCAAGCGACACATCCACGAATCGACAGGCGACGCGAATCGTAGGGAGCGAGATGGATCCAGGGCGTGTTGAACAATTGGAATCAACGTAGAATTTCGCGCGAAGAAACTCAAAACGATACCCGGATTGCGCTAACCAAGGTAGAGAAACCGAGCTCGCGCTTCGAAACAGGCCCTGTATCCCAATCGCGACGATGAACACAATGGAGCAAAAGAAAATGCTCAGTGTACATGTAACTAGGCCAGAGATTGCGTATACATAATGTGGCTCATCTTAGAAACTTAGGACTAAAGGTTCTTAAACTTAGGAGGCTAGGTTGGCTAGGATACTAGGAAGAAGACCGCCATGGAATGGCGTGAGGAAAAACGGATCTAGGAGGTGAGAGAATGTCGAGAAGAAAGGTGGTTGGATTAGGAAGAGAGGGGAGTACAAGGAGGGGTTTGTACCCCCTACAGAAAGTTTCAATAACAACCTACCAAGCCTATATTAAATTATAACTTATATAATTTTAACACACCCCCTAGGCTTGGTAGTGTCAAGCCCACGCACACCCCCACACCCACACCCACACCCACACCCCCTAGCCCAGCACCCCCATTCCCAGCAGGAGCCGCAACGACTCCGGAAGAGGGTAGGTCTCACGGCCCCTTGAGACGGCAATGGCGGCAGCAGCGACAGTGACGACGGCGGCGGCACCGGTGTGCGGCGGCTCCAGGCCTGCGGCAACAGCGGCGGCGCCGGCGGCTCGAACGACAGAGGCTGGTGCGGCGGCCCCCGCCCTCTCGGCGGCATGTCCTGTCTCCTCGGCGGTGGAGAGGTCCCTCACATGGCAGTCATCGGCTGGAGCAAGAAAGGGGGGGATGCAGGGGAAGCAGGTGCAGGTGGGGGGGGAGGGAGGGGGCGGGCGAGGCGAGTCTTCAGCGACGCGCCATAAATGGCGCGGCGCTTACTGGGGGAGGACGTCGTCCTGAGGGACTCCCGTCTGTGGCGAGCGGGCGGCAGGCCCGGCGACGCCACAGACGTCGCTCGGCCGGCCGCAGCCCGACGATGCCGTCGGCTGCGCAGACGCCGCCACAGCGCACCGTCAATGTCGCAGCGGCGAGGCGGACGGGCGACGGCTGCACCAAGGGGCCGTCGCGACACCTTGGCGCCGGCGACGGTAGGCAACGAGGGACCGTCGCGACATCTTGGTGCCCGCGACGGCAGGCAACAAGGGGCCGTCGCGACATCCTGGCGCCGCGACGGCATGCAACAAGGGGCCGTCGCGACAACTTAGTGCCGCGACGGCAGGCAGGCAGAAAACCGCGAAGGCTGCGAATGCAGTAGGAGTACGCAACGGGAACGTAGGGAGAGGGTCCGGTGGACACGACCGGCTCTGATACCATCTTAGAAACTTAGGACTAAAGGTTCTTAAACATAGGAGGCTAGGTTGGCTAGGATACTAGGAAGAAGACCGCCATGGAATGGCGTGAGGAAAAACGGATCTAGGAGGTGAGAGAAATGTCGAGAAGAAAGGTGGTTGGATTAGGAAGAGAGGGGAGTACAAGGAGGGGTTTGTACCCCCTACAGAAAGGTTCAATAACAACCTACCAAGCCTATATTAAATTATAACTTATATAATTTTAACACTTAGTACCCACGGGAGGGATGGAGGGGACTGTGTGCATCAGGGCGGACGTTTAAAAAAAAAGCACCCTGAGCTGTCGAATGTGGAGAAAATTTACCCTGAGGGCCTAGTGTTGGAATTTTGACTTCCCTGACTTCTCAGTGTTCTGGAACTCACAACCCTGAAACCTCCAGGGTTGGCTAGCAACAATCAGGGTTGCATTGCACTTGGAAAAATCAACTAGGAATGTACAGCTACTAGTTAAGTAGAAGCACCACTACGCCACGCCAGTCTACAAGTCCTCTATCTAGTCTAGACTTCACAATATTCCACGCACTAGCTACACTTGACTAAAATTCTGGGCCATCCATGTTCACTTCGTCTTCTGCCTCGTCATCGGACAGAACGGGTTGTCTTCCACTTCAGGAGGAGCCTCTCCCCCCACTCCCCCTCCCCCTCTCCCTCATCCTTTGCCAATCCCATGTAGTCGGGGACTGCTCCTCCTCCACCCTCACTTCTGCCCCCTCAATCGCCTTCGCCTTACGCTTCCTCTCCGCTGCGGCAAACAGAACAGACTTAGCAGGGCGCCTCAGCTTCTCGCGCCAACACCCAAGGGCCTCGTCCCAGTCAGTCTCGTACTGCAGCAGGGAAATGACCATCAGCTCGCTGAGGCGCGCATTGCACAACGCGCCCCGCACCCAGACTTGATGACGTTCTGCCGCGAGAAGCCTCGTTCATACTCCACTGTGCTAAGCGGCAGGACAGCGCATGCCTGCCACAAGCGCATGAGGTTGGGCCAGCGCCTGCCAAAAGGGTTGGGGGAACAGAGTACACGGAACAAGACCAGTGCATTAGCGATGCTAGTCAACAATCGATAAACACAACATCCAGATGGAAGAATAAAACCGCAAAAAAAAAATGCAACAATCGTCCTTCGAGCAGCACTCTCTCACCAGGTCGACTCCGTCGAGCCGAGGTAGTTCGTCAGGCCTTGATGGAATCCTCGTCGGCATGGTGGCTCAGCATCAGTGGCGCCCAGTGACCAGCTCCTTCTGCGCAGCTTGCAAGGAAAAGCCTGTCAGCCTGTTGTCGAACAAGGCACTACAGCCATGTAGGTACTCCTTCAGCTTCTTCTCTCTCTGCTGCTTCATCCGGGGGCCACTTCGACACACGGAAGAGCTTCATCGGGCCGAGATTGTTCAGGTCCAGCATCCTCGTCTTTAGGAAGCTTATCGTGTCCTTCCGCGAACTGCGCACAGAGCCGCTCGCAATCGGGGGTACTTGCTGCGGAAGGCATGCCCGTCGATCTGCTTCTCGTGCATGGTGTAGGTGTGCATGGCTGGGTTGCCGTCCTTGTCGATGCCCCGCACCTTTACGCGTTTGCCCCCTCCGCGCCCGTAGACCGCAAGAAAGCCGAAAGCCACGTGCCTTCGACACCCCCACCGAACACCTCTCCGCACTCCAAGTAGCGGTGACGGAGGTCCCCTGTGGCCTCGTCGATGTCCTTTGTCACTTCGGTGACATCGACCTGATGGAAGTGACAGACAAGGGAGTGGAGTCAGAGGGTGATTCCAAACGTGGATGCATGGGACAAAACTACAACATCCACAGTGGTAGAAACTCACCTCCCTCTTCTGGAATTTGAGGTTGAGCTCATTCATCACTCCGAGCACGTTCACCAGGAAAAAAAGACAGAACTGGAACTTGTAACAGATGACGACCTCATACAACTCATGCCCGTACTCATAAAAGAGAATTATAGCGGCGCCAAGGACCTTACACAGGCGCCTCACAGCCTCACCCTTGAAAGCCAGCGCACGGTGTGAATTCCTTGCACTTCAAGGTTGGTGTTGTGTATTGCCCGCTGCAGGTACTTGAAGCGTTGACTCCAGACACATGAACGTCCCAGAAGATCGGCTAGAGTCCGAATCACAAGGTCGACCATGTCGAAGTCTGGAGAAGCAGTGGCCGCGTCCTTCACCGCCAAGGCTTCCCTGCATGGTGCACACGAAGGAATTTTAGACAAGCAGTTGTAGGAACCCTAAGCGACTGAAATGACAAGCGGTTAAACCTGTGGGCGATGCAGTGCGACGAGACGAGGTGGGGGATGTGCTCGCGAAGTCGGGCGACGAGACCATTGTCTCGGCCGACCATGACAGAGGCGCCGTCGGTGCTCATGCCGGTGATTCAGGAGAGGTCGATGCCAGTTGCTCGCAAGTGAGCCAGAAGAACGGCGAGGAGAGACGCGGCATCGCACTTTTCGACGGTCAGAGAGCAAAAAAACTCCGTGACAACACGATGCGCACGCAAGAAGGTCAGATAAACAATAAGATGTTTACCGCGAGTACGGTCAGTGCTCTCATCGCAGCTGATGCCGAGGTAGGGTGAGGCGAGAATGTATTGCATTTGTCGGCGCTGCAGGTAGGTTGCCAGGCTTCTGACGAGCTGACAGAAGCCATACCTGTAGTAGCAGAAGTGACAACAAGGTGTTGGTTAGACTTTTTTGAAAAATGAAGAACATGGTGTACTTCGAATAAGTGCATTACCGTGTCAGGTAGACTCCGTAAGACTGCAGCGGAATGTCCGGTGTCTCCTGCTCGGCCATGAAGCGGAGTAGCCTCGGGTACATGCTGATGGGTGCATCACACTTGCACAGGAAGTCGACGCAGCGTAGGAGCCTCATGACGCGCTTCCCCTCGATGTCAATCCCCGCGTAATTCTCCATGCGCCTCTGGGTGCTGGCGATGTCTTCG